AGCCCCTCAGCTTTCCCACTTGATTGCTTCATGAAATTCCCCAAAGTTTTCCAACTGCATGATATGTCGGGCTTCTATGTTGCAGCTATATTGTGCTACACTTTTCCTCAGACAAATGAAATCTTTGGGAAACGGCACTCCCAGCAACTTCCCAAAGTGCAATTGCCGTGCCTTTGTCAACCATGAAGACAAGCGTGTTCTGCGACTGGACATGTGCTCTTGCGTGGCTTAGAGAATTAGTACTAAAGATGGGGTGATTTCACAGAGTGAAAGGAAAGGGAGCTCTATAAAAAGCAGACAAGCCCAGGGTTAAATCTGGGCTTTGAGGGGTAAGTCAGGTTAGAGGGCAGCTGAGGTTCTCAGCTTGCAGCACTGTCGCACACTAACAAAACGTTTTGCTGTGTGTTCTGCTGATCGTGTCAGGCTCTGCATGCCCTGCTGGTTCCCCAGAACAGCACAGACACCTCCCTGGCTTTGCCTTGGCACCAGCCAGGCTCCCAGAAGCTCAGAGGAGCAGGAGCAGGGGTTGTCCAGGCGACAGTCCAGAAGGATGCAGTATTCAGGGTATGTAAGATCTTAGAAGTAAATAGAAACTCTGCATTGTTTACTGTCCTTTATCCTTTTTTTTTTTTTTTTTAAGTGTGCAATATATATCTCCTTTGGAATCGGTCCCAAGTGATGGGTGTTCAGTCATTTCATGTCATGTCCACCTGCTATTTTCAGGCATTTCAGAAAATAACTGGTTTCACAATGGGGTTGCAACACATGTCAGAGGGACGGGGACATTAGGACAAAATTGGAGAGGGAGGAAAAGAGAAATGCATCCAGAGCTGTTATTTCATGTTAATATGCAGATGTGTTTTATTATATAAAGACATAGGGAACCATGGAGAATTTGCTTTGCTCTCCTCACTCATTTTGTCCTGCTCCTATTCCCCAGTTTTGCATTATGTCTCACTGTTGCATCTTCTTGTAACCAAGAGTGTGTATTATCCTTGAGGCACCATCTGTTTGCTTTGTGCCTGTATGAGATACCACCATGGGGACCTGGCACTTGTGGCCTCTGAGTGGTCTGATGACACACATTAATAGCCTCATAAATAGGGCAGTTCTGCAGTTCCTTAATACTCCTGGATTCAGAGGGTGAATAAAACAAGCTCCAGTACAGGGAGCCCTGAGTCGATTCCTCAGTCAATAGGAGTTGGTGCTGGTTTGGAAAAACAGGTGAAGGTTGTAACAAGGCATTTGGATTGTTACAGAAGGTTTCTGTTTGGAGTATATTTGGAAAGCGTTTATTTTTTCATGCAATGCAGCATGAAAATACAATTCTTATTGCTCATTTCAGCCGAGTTAGAATCTGATCCAGCTGTCTTTGAGCTGCAACTGAATTAGCTCCTGAGTCAGTTATAATCCACTCTTGAAGTGTGATAGGAATCCCATTTTCCCTGACTCATTTTTAGCCCATTGTCAATAATTCAACACGTTCTTCTATAAAGATATGACAAACTCAATTTTTCCCCATGGCAATTTAGAAATGGGCTTTTTAAGCAAGAACATTTTTCTCAGACCATATTTCTTGGGTTTTTTTGCACAGAGCAAAACTCAAAGCCACAAAATAATAATCAGCAATATTTAGATTTGTTGGAGTTCACATTCTGTGTGGTTGTGTATGTCAACACCTTTCTTTTCCACAGTGCAAGGATGAAACATATCCATAACCAGGTTTATCAAAGATCTCTTTAGTATTTAAAGAGAAATATATATATATATTTAAAATCCAATGTTTTCTGAATGAAAACTGAATTCTGTTTGCTCCAAGCTTTCCATTTTCTTTCAAAAAAAGCAGCCCTGAACTTAAGCTATAAAAAGGATGAAGCATCATTGTGAATGCCTCTCGAAAGAAAAAAATAGGACGCCACTTGAGGGCAGCAAATGCTCAGCTTCTCTCTGATGATCTAACAAAGTATCATGAAGAGACATGAGACTACTTTTATTTTCCATTCATTTGTCTTGTAATTTTTGACTTGTCTTACAAAGAGCATTGTTTCCAAATAATTACACTGAGAGAAAGAAAATATATGTTATTGCTGCAAAAATAAAATAAAATTTAAAAAAAAAAAGCAACCAAAAAAAAAGGTGGGAAAAAACAACAACAACAACAAAAAGTAATTTTGTTCTGAGTTTTTATTTTTGCTTTGGAATTCAGTAAAAATGACAGTGCTTGGAAATTTTTTGAAGGTGGCAGAGAAGGGGTCCAGCAGCAAAAGCTCATTTTCACCAAATATGCCCTAGGAATGTTTTATGCCATTTCTGCAAAATTTTCATGCTAGAAAATGCAGAAAAAACATATGAAGTTGAAAAAAATATTTTTTTCAACATAAATGATAGTGTGAGATCATGTAACTTTCAGATACCTAAAGAATGAAGACAGTGTCAAAATACACATTTGAGACGTCAGATTAAATCTGCACAAGAACCTTTAATCCTAGCATAGACTAAATTCTTACAGCACTTGATTTCACAACCATATCTTTTTCCAAAAAAATGCTCAGTTTTAAAATGCAGCAAAATGATAAAACACAATCCATCATCTGGAACTCAGCTTGTGCCTTCATGTTCTGCTAACAGCTTTAGAATTTAGATGCAAAGTAGAGATCTTTACCAATCAGGGTAAAGGACTGATCAGCCATGGGGTTATTTGGGAACTCGATGGAGAAGCCCATGGGTTTTTCTTGTGCTTTACAATCTGATGATGATGGTGGTGAAGTGCCAGTCTTGATCTATTTTTTTTCTTTCTTCCTATTGCCACCTTTCCTCGGTTGACCCATTTTGCACCTTTTCTTGTACCAATTGCTACCTTCCCTGTATAGACCTTCCATCCTCATTGAAACTTTCCATTTGTCCATTCTGTGGGTTGGGCTGCTCCCTCTCAGCCCCTCTCTTCATAATCCTCTTCTGAGCTCCTTCTACATGTCAGCAGGAGTTCTCCTTCTCCTCCTCCTCCTTGCTGAAGCACAAGGGTGGGAGCAACCAGAATGCATCAGAAAGCACTTTTACCTTCAACTCCTCTGCTCAGTGCTGTAGCATCCTCAGCTGGTTGGAAGGTGTCAAGAGCAGGGACACCCTGCTCAGCCCCGTCAGCTGTGAGTGTGTGTGAGTATTTTGGGACCTCAGAGGCTTGTACAGCACAACCTGAGCAGATTTTCCCATGGGCTGTAAATACCAGCACTGGTTTCACCCACATCTTTGCTGAACTTTTAATTTCTGGTCAAAAGCACAGAGTTGCTGGAGAGTTATGGTGGTATTTATTTTAGAAGAAAAGTGAAGTTGATTTACCATTTTCAGAAACGAGTGAAATGTATAAGCTAACTAAAAATATATCTGCATAGAGAAATAAAATTTAAATTCAGTGCTTAACGCAATTCAGCACCATAATAGGCAATTTCAGTTCATGTGAGGAAAGTTTGTGAGATTTAATTGAAGGCAGGCTTATGTAATTGAAAATGTAAAAGTTGCCTTACCTGTGGATGTTGTTATCGGTGTTACCTCTGTTCTGTTTCTCTTGTCTGAGGTCATATTGCCCTGTGGACACACAGGAATATGGAAAGGGGATAAATGTTTGTATTTCACAGATGGAAAAAACCACCACTCAGCAAGACTGTTGGTCAGTGTTTTCAAGATTTGGCACCGCTTTTACATTTTTAAATTTTCAGCTTTTGTTATCCAGAAAGACACTGAGAGAAAGAAACTGTCTTTTCACAGTGTCTTTACGTTTGTCCCTCCTGCCAAGTGTAAACTGGGGCTCACAGACTGCTTTTCTAAAAATCAGGTCTTAGGTGTCTCAGATAAAGTCTGCAGAAGCTGGCCATTACTGTAATTTTTTTTTTTTTTTTTACACTATCTTGCACAGGAAATCTATTTCAGAGCCAGAAATACAGATTGAATCTCAGGGCTTCTACACCTTTGTTTCAGCAGCAAGACCATCTGTCACTTCTAATTCCTGCTATGAAAAAGATGATCTAGTTATCTTTGATGGAATAATTCTGAAATTGCAAGCTACATTCTTCTCCTTTTCCCCAATTAGATTTTCCTCCCCTCCTACATGCTGGAATCTCTGTTTGAAGGTTCAGCCCTGGATGAAGCTAAACTCAAAGACAACGATGTGTTTTTAATCACTGTCTCCCCACTGGATATGATTTAAAATTGCAAAACATGCTAACTCCTCTCACCCAAGCAATCTTGACTTGGTTCCAAAAGGGAGACAAATCCGAAAACAGGTGCATTCCTTGTCATTTTAGATTTCACTAAGGATATGCAAAACCTTTGTTCCATTTTAAGCTTGATACATGTTTTGGAAGGTGGAGTTATAAGGAGGGGCTGGATGTTTTTTTCAGGCATGTCTACATCTTAACCATCATCTGCGTATCATTCCAAGATGGCTTTTAAATCTTCTGGATTCACACTCAGCTTTATTTAATTCTCCAAGGCAAAGTTCTCTTTCTCATAGGACCATTAAATCATGACTAGATACTCTTTCATAATGAGGAAAAAAATTCAGTGTCTTTTTGGAGAAAACCAGCCTCATCCCCTCATGTTTCATGAGACCACAAAGTGTTCAGTCTTTCACATACATGTTTTCTTGGTGCAAACTGCAGATAAAAAGCACATGATATAATTTCATCATTTGTGTGGCCTTATTTATTGTGACTGTAGGTGAGGGAATGTTTCAGGCTATTCCATCCAGCTTTTGTTTTTCCCACCCATGTACACATAGACACATTCCTGTAGCTCTAACTCACTTATGTTTCTATAGTTCAGGGCATTTCTCTGCTGTTAAAGTTTAATGAAAATAAGATTGAAATTTTAGGGATTAACGACCACTTGGCAAAAATTCAGCTGGTATCTACTTTGTCTGCACCAGTTCTTCCAACCTTCTTTCTACAATGAATAACTAAAAAGGACCAAGGAGCTGGAAGCTGTTTCTAGGATACAATGTACAGCACTTCCTACTCTTGGCTCACTCTACCTTCAACCTCTCAGCTCTGTCATTTTTTTTCTGTCTATGAATTTAAAATAGTTTTATGGCACCAGATAGTGAAGTGAAAGCAATAGCATTTGTCCCAGCCGTGGGTGGGATCACCTTGCTACCGCGGTGAAATCGAAGGGGCTGATCTTCACAAGGATTTTGCATTAAGGTAATTTCCACACCTTACTTATCCTGCTGTTTGGTTAAAACCTTTCCTGCAGTGAGTTCAGAGGCTTTGTGTGTGTATGTGAGTGCACAGCATGGCTTCTCCACAGTGGCATTCCAGCTGGCAGTTCCTGGAAAGCTGTATGGAAAGTCACGGTGAAGCCCCAAAAGCTACTGCAAAAGGGAATTCATGAATGACATGATCTCTCTGCTGCCATCCCTACCCGTGCCGTCCTCTTTGAGCTCCAGCACTTGTGTGTGGGCAGAATGAGAAAGAGATCATTCCTTTTTTGTAATCCTTTTTTTGAGGGGAGAACAAATTCCTTGCGGGGCTGCTTTTTTTGGGGGCAGTCCAGCTGAGGGAAAGAAAAGGTCTTTTAAACCGTGTTGCCACAGGTTGATCTGGATGTAAACACTTTGGGTACATTGATCCATTGTAAACTCCTGGAACAGGAACAGGATGCAGGTATGGCAGACAATTATTGTAAAACAATTGCTGCTCTATATCCAGCCGGTTTACAGCTTTCTGGTGTCCCCAAGATATAGGTGTTGCTTTCATGTTCTTGGCAACCCTCCACCCCATAAGTCAAGGTCCCTCTTTTTAACCAGGAGCTGGCAGGAGGCTCACAGGTCAGTGGCAAAGGGCTGTGAGGAAAAGCTACCCTCAAACTGGAAAACTGAGGAGATATTTTTGTCATTAAGTTCGGGAGACAAACCTCCTCACCAGCATTTTGCACTTGCAGTACGTGGTTACTTTGAGATTTAGGAAGCAAACAAACAGTAATCATTAGGAGCAGTATATTAAATGAAATAAATTTCTCCTTGTGCTGTTGACTAAAGAACAGGCAATTTAGCTGCTCCTAATTATGAGGTTATGCCTTGATTTTTCTAAGCTGAAATGACAGTTTATATAGACTTTTTTTTTTTGAGGTAAGCGTGCACTTTTCAAAGGTTTTACATGGATGAACTCTTTTAGCTCTCCTCTGTCCACGAGTGTCACCATGTACAAGTGATTGAAAATTGTGGTGTAAACCTTTGTGCAGCTTCTAGCCAATACAGAGCCTTGGATATACAGCACACACCCGCTGCCCTGGTGTTTAGCAGAGGGGTGTTTTTTCTCAGCCAGCTCAGGGAGGGCAGATACACACATTCACTGCAGGCCCATGTTTGGGATGGCAAAATAAAATAGTTCCCATAGTTATTCCTAGAAGTTAATTAGCTGTGACAGTGGGAAAGTGACCACCTCATGATTCTTGGATATTTATAACAAGGCTGTCACTTGCTAGGTTAGCCAGGTCATAGAGGAGACAAGGGTGTGAAGTCAGGTTTCTGGCAGGACACAGAGCTGAACCTGCATCGTTGTGCTTCCTTGCCATTGCTTAGATGTTGGCAGAAAGGATCTCTTGGTGCAGCATTTGTAACACTACACCAGTGTGTGATCCCTATCTTTTGGAAACTGTGGCTTCAATGGGCTGCAGAGCTCTGTGGGTGAATGTGCATTTCCTTCATCACATGCCTTTAGAGTTTGACCTGGGATTGCTGAAATGGAGATTTCTTTTCTACTCCCGCTTGCATGAGCACAAGGTCAGAGCTCCATGGGCAAAGCAGAGATCACAGAGGACACGAGGAAGTGCTGTGGTGCCATCCCTTGGCATGCCACCTGCTGAGGCGGGTGCTGGAGCATTCACCACACCCTAGTGTCCCTCTCTACCATGTGCTGGTTGTTTCATGGGGGACAGAGACAGCTGGTTTGGGTGTTTTCGCCTCTACTTTGTGTTTTAGCAAGTGGCACTGCTGCTGTCATGCTTCAGGACTTACCATTACCGTGCAGTTTCCTAATGAATGAGATGTTAGAGTTTGTTTGACTCTCCAATTTTGCCTTGTAATCAAGACTTAATGTGCTAAATGTGTTTGCCATACTCTGGTATCAGCACAGCTGAGCATGACCTGAGCAGCTGGGAATACTTCTGAGAGCATTTTTTGTGGTTTTTGAGAGTTAAAAGAGGAAAAGAGTTACATCAGTGGGGAAAAAAAAAAGCACTCAAGTTACACATTTTGTGCAAATCACAAGTTTTTTATTGGTAACGATAAGGTAACTTGGAAAAGATTACTTCAAAGCTCTGTCTCATTTGAAGTGCCACTTATGAATGTTGTCACTGCTCAGAAAAAAAGATATCTCACACTAAGAAAGCTATGAGTTACCGCCATGACAAGGAGAAAGCACAGAAGTTGCTTCATTTTTGTCTGTCTGTCATTATGGTCCTTCAGTTTTAGTAAGAAAAACTTTCAGACAACTTCAGCATGATTTGCAGAGTGTCATTTCTCTATTAAAATTTCCTGCCCATAAATAGTGTGCCAAATGTTGTAGTGGGTTTGTCATCTGCCCAATATTCTTCAGAGAAAGCAGCTGACTGTTGGCTTCCCTAATTATTTCTTCTTCTAATATTGTTTCCTCAGAGCTAGCTTGAAGGGGGAACAAACCCCAACTATATATAAATAATCCAGTAAAACCAGACATTTCTGTCAAAAAAATTTAGAGCTTTGGAACAAACAATAATAGTTTCATGCAAATTTCTCTCCCTTAATACTGGCAAGATTTCAATAAGAATTTTCTGAGAAACATTTCATTTTATTCCACTGAAAGGTGGGACACTGCTTTTTGCATTGCTACAAACCCCCACTGGAGAGCCAAGCTGGGAAACTGCCAAACATCTCATACCTGCTGTGACAATGGGGAGCTGTATCAACGCACACAAACCCATATTTAACTAAACTGTTCAATTGAATTCTAATCTCCAGCTAATCGCTAAGGTTAGAGAAAAAAAAATATCTCCCTATTCATGTTTTATTTCTAAAAAATACCTTTATGAGGTAATACAAGTGCATGAATGGATGAGAGACTCAAGCACAATACTGTCTACAATACTGTCTACAATACTGTCTACAATACTGTCTACAAAGCTAAATGAGCTATGGGGGTCACATTCTATTAAATATCTCACCCATGAAACTTTCGGTTAAAAAGAACATTTAAATGGAGATTGGAAAGTCACTGAAGGGCCCTTCTAAGGCTTTTTGAGACAGAAGGTGATACAGAGGTGTGTTTTTGGTTTGCTGCACTCCAAGCATCCCTAAGACACACAACTCATTGAGATTACAATAGGTGAAGTACCAGCAGACAACAATTCATGTGTGGTTGGGTACAATTTGTGTTCAAAACAGAACTGCAATCTCTTGAATGAAGATTGTGTGTGTGTTGTAGGGGATAGGGAGACCTTTCACCTTTCCTACTGCAAGACTATAATGCAGAAGAAAGCATGCCATCTCTGAGTCTGGGCATCAGCCTTGGCATCTTCTGTGTGGCTTCCACTATCCAAATGAAATTCTTCCCAGTACTGCTTAGTGGGAGATATTACAAAAGGAAAGAGATGTTCCTTCCTCAGCTTCTTTGGTGTCATAATTTGAAGTTAATAATGGGCGAAATATAGGATTAAAACACATGGTCCTTAAGTCAGGACTTGTTACACAGCACCTTTACAAGCCCAAATGGGTACCCTTCCCTGACTTTACCAAAGCAGCACTGATGTCCCTGATAAGAGATACCTCTGTGGAGAAGATACCTACCTGTTACAGAACCAAAACATAATTTCATATGAGGATGCTGTGGAGCAGTTGTGTAGACATTTGGGTACAGCTGGTTCTCAAGCACGGCTGCTCAGGTCTCTCACACACCAGAAAAATGTATGCAAACCAGAAAAGTCTTCCCTGGACCTCCTCTCTTAGTTTCAGGTGCTTTACCCTCTATCTTGGGTCTGAGTTTCCATCTTTTTTGCAGACCTGAAGGGCAGTCTGATCTGTGCTGATGTTTTGTTGGGGCATCCCACAAAACTCTTTGCTGATTTTAAGTAACTCCTTGCAAGCAGCTCATTCTCATTCTGGTTTTCCTCCCTGCAGAGCACGGCTGGGCGTATCCTTAATTTAACCTGGCAGTGAGAAGTACTGGCTCATACTTTTAACTGAAGTGACTCTCCCTGACCCAGGTTTTATGCTTGCGTGCAAACCCTGTCAGCAAAAATAATTTTCCAGTGTCTTTCCATTTGTTCTGTTACCGTACCATGTCTTCAAATCCCCACTCTTTCGGCACAAACAGGCCAATGTGACCTTCTTGCCAAATGATTGTTGAAGACTACAGCTAACAAAGTGTTCTGGGGGGCTATCAAGTGTCTCCAAGGTAAGGCATGCATAAAACATGAGCACATAGTTGTAAATAACTGGGCTCCTCTTCATTTATTTTAAAATAATGATGGTTGTTTAACTGGCTTAAAAGGGTTACTCTTTCACCCCTAGCTTGTTCCGAGCACCGTGGGAAAATGACATGAGCACTGTTTAGTTTAAGGGACGTAGTCATGCAAAACCTTTGCTGTACCTTGTGGGGGAAGCTGGAGCGTTTCAAGGAATAATGAAGGTGTGAATCATCACATTTCTGAATTGCCTGATAAGAAAATCTTTTAATCTCTCGTAGTAGTGTAAGGACTCCAATTGCTGCAATTCTCTTCGTAAATTGTGCAATAAAATATGGAATAAATCATTGCAAAAGAATCCAGGATTATCAGCAGTCTTTTCCTTTGATATCAGTTTTTCTGACCGGTGTTCTTTAAAGGCTTTGGCTTGTTAGTTTAGTTTTAGGAGACAAATAAACTAATTAGTTCTCTTTTTTTTTACCCACTTTATGGTCTGTTCTTGGCACACTTAGGAAACATTTCAGCTTGAACAGTTCATTTTCAGTTGTGCCCGTTAGCAGGAATTATTTCCATTTTTCAAAAACAACATTAGAGAACAACCAGGATGAGATACTGCTTTCATTAAAAGTATATGCAATGGATGAGGAGTTTGGTTGCTTACATATTTTTTTAAAATATATTTTAAGTGGTATTCAAAATGTACCAAAAAAAATTCAGTTTTATATGTGTGTGTTCAGTGAAAAAAACCCTCAAGAGTTCCCTTCTGAAAAATATTCTCATTGTTTCTGGAATTTGGCTCCACATGCTCTGTGTGATTTTACAGGACACCATCTACAGTCTTTTATCAAGATTTTATGTTTTTATTTATACAAAAATCACACACTGCTATAGGATGTCAATAAAGCAAAGAGCTTGGTAAGATTTAAGCTTTGGGGGATTCCTTTTATGATCAGGAAAGACATAAAATCAAGTAAATCACTCAAATTGGTAACCTCAGAACCCAGCTTTGATATATGACTCTTCTCATAATGTGCAATAAGACTGATTAAGCTTTATCATTTCATTTATCACTTCCTAGGCAGCAGCTGCCCATTGGCTGGAGAGGAAATCAAACGTTTATCCACTGCTACCTTTGCCTGTGGATGGTAAAAAGGTATTTATAATATAAGGCAAAGTCCTGCCATAAAAGATTAGAACAGTGGAGCTAGGCAGCAAGAATGAACTACAGCCATAAAGAATAGAGTGTGAAATGTTTGGGTTGGATTCTGTTGTGATTTATCCACCAGCTTTTTGCTCAGGTTGCTGCACATCCTGTCAGCCTGCCCTGGGTAAGAGCTACAGAGCAAGGGGCAGCTCTGCTGGGTGCTCGAGAGCATCCTCCCTGCACACCCATCCCTAAAGGCACATTTTGGAAGTTTTTTGGGTTTTTTTAATCACTTGGATACATTTTATAAATATTTGATGAGCGTGTGAAAAAAAATGTGAAAAATCACTTTAATGGTAATTTTGTTTACGGTGCTTTAATGTATTTGGTTTATTTACTTTAAGGTGTGAGGTAAAATACCTTTGTGTGCAGATTAAAGATATGTGGCGTGCTCTGGCTAATTGTCCAGATGTGTAGCTCAGACGAGGGACAAGCTGCCTTGGCCTCTGTCACCTCCCTCACTTCATACAGCCACTAATTGGCTTGGGGAACAACACTATTGTTTGTGTGTCAATCATGAATGATTTCTTTCTACAAATGATTCCCAAACTGGTTTATGAAGCTGCTTTGGATGCTGGAGGGAAGAAGCCGAGTGACCGCGAGCTGCTGGGGGTGAGTGGAGAGCTGAGAGTGAGGTCGGTCGTGACATGGAGAGGCCACCTCTGCCAGAGGTCCTGGGCATGGTTATGTCTCTGGGAATCAGAGATGTGGTAGGCTGATAGTAAAGTGTCTCTGAGAGGATGAGAGAGGGCCTGAAGGTGAGCTGAGACCCCATTGTAGCTGAATAAGGGGATCTCAGTAGGTGGTGAAGGCACATTTTGCAGAAGAGTTAGGAAGACTGAGGATAAGACAAGAAATAGGTGAAAGACAGCATCTGCCTGGTTTATGTGCAGTTCATAGGCTGAATGGGAGGACTTGACAGGCCTGAACTCTTCTCATGGGCTGCTGAAGTGTTGAGATGGGGTGCATGGTGAAGGATCTGTGAGGAGAAGGGGGTTGCTTAGGGTTGGCCTCTGTGCAGATCTGCCTTGTGGTGAGATCAGCTGGCCTTGTCTGGAGCTCTGTGATGTTGTATTGAGGTCACCTTGCTCCTGCTCTGATCCCACTCATGAGCTCGTGGTTCCCATCATACAGAGCAGTGTTGCTGCAAAAATGATATGGATGCCTGTGCATGTGTGATCATATTCTATCTATAATGGACTTTAAATACCATCTGATTCAGATACAATCTAATACAGGACGATGTGTGAATTGCTTGATTTCCCCGTAGACTTCTTTAAATATGAGGCAATGGCACAGCAATCTAGAGATAACCTAGTGTAGAAAAATAATAGAGATGCTTCTGTTGTTCCCTTGCCATTTTTACTTCCTTTCTTTTTCTTCGAAACCACCGGTTATTTCCCCGTAGAGCTATGAAATAACAGGAAACAAGAACACCCCAGCTAGGCAGTGTCTCTGCAGAACTACAGGAGATCGCATCCTGTAAAAAGGTTAATGAGGAACTGAGACTTTTTTTGTGTCAGGATAAAGAGAATTACTCGCTTCCTAGTGCCCTAGAAGCATTTGTGGAATCTTTTAGGAAATGGCATAATGTATTTTTAGTGTAAAATGAAGCTAGAAAAGAGTTGCAAAAAGCTGTGCCATCAGTCCTGGATTTGATACATCCAACATTCAGCAACTGCAGGTTTCTTGCTTCCTTATTTCATTGAAGATGGATGCAGAGGACTTCAGAAAATATCCTTTTCTCATTTCCTGGTCAGACTCTCCCTAGAAAATGCACATCAGCCAGTGTGTGTGAGCTAAGCTGGTGCTGGACACTGATCCTGCTGGACACCAGGCAGAGAAGGCAGCTCAGTCCTCTCTCACCCACCTCTGAGAGGACTTTAGTGGCTGAGTACCCACTGCCATTTCCCTGCCTTCCTCTCCTGGCTCACAGAAGCTGCTTCCAGGGCTGCACACTATGAGATACTTTTTTTTCAATCTCTGCATTTTAATTGCACATCCTCCTTTTCAAAAGGCTGGATGTTTTGAGATAATGAAATGTTTCCACAGGTCATGCTGCTTTCTCTTCCTCTGGATTCCTCTATTAACAGAAAGCTACCAGTTTCCAGAAGGAAATTGTCTTGATTTCTTTATAGCCTCAATCTGTTCTCACCGAAGCCACTGGCAAATCCTTCTGTTTATTTTTCAGGGATACAAAACTGAGCCAAATGCCATCAGGAAGAGATCAGCACATATACTGAACGATGAGCAAGGCCTGGGGAGCCTAGTTAAGTAATTCATTACAGCTACTTTGAAATTCCTCACCAAATAGGTTTGAGTTTGATTTTTTGCCAGAAATACTGGCTTGCTGAAACGGAAACATTTTGTGGCAATGTACTAATTTCTGTTATCTGGAAGGTTATTTTTTGAGTTCCAGGTGAAATTTTATGGGGAGAAAAGGAAGCAGAAAAAGACTTTTTATCTGTAATACTGTGCTGAACAAATGTAGCTACCATGGCTTCTGGGCTAGAATTGCTTGCAATTGTCTGAACATATCTGAGCAGATGGACTTAGCCCTTGATTCCAGGTCTAAATTGGAAGGTATGTGAAAGAAGATAGGAAAGGGGTTGGACTGGATGATCTTTAAAGGTCCCTTCCATCCCAAACCTTTCTGTGACTCTATGAAGTATCTATGTTTGTGATGTGTAATTACTAAATGTTTCTATTTACATCAGGTTATGAAAAATAATGCTGGAGTTAAGAGGGCCATCAATCCGAGGAAAGTAGAAGCATCATTTAAGCCCACTCTTTTTGTAAGGAGCTGCATTCCACATCACAATGAAGTGTGACATTCCCTGTCACAGGGCACAATGTTAATTCAGTGCTCAGAAGGCAGTTAGAGACATCACAGAAGATGATCTTGTAAAGAAGTGTCAGAAAAACTGCTTTTAGTTTAGGAAATTGCTGGAAACTGGGCGTGTCAGGGTAAAACCATGTTATCTTTACCTTGTCCTTAAACTTTTCTCTAGGCATGTGGTCACTGTCCAAGCCAGAATGCTGGGCTGAATGTACATTTAGTTCAGTCTGATACAACTGGGTGTTTTGTGCTATCTTAAAGAAAGTTTATGTGAAGGCACCAGCGAAAATCATTCCTGCCCCCCTTCAGCTGTGCCTGCTCTCTGCAATTAGTACTGTGTGTCTGTAGCTGCATTGGCTTTTGCAGCTGAGGTCTTCCACAAGGCTCCCTCTGAAGGTGTCAGTGAAGGAAAAATGATAATAGAGTTGTGAGGAGTGCTGAGGCTGGAACAAGACCAAATACCCATCAGCATTCCACTGTTTTTGATCCATCACTGACAGTAAACCCAAGTGAGGGATCCAGATTATTAAAGGCATTCAAATACCTGAAGCTCACCAAAATCTCTGGGAGTAAAGTATCTGAATATTTTTATGATCTGGGTCATAATGGAGTAAATGAATAGCGTTTGTGTTACATCAGAAGAGTGACTTGGTTGACATTCAGACTCGATGGGAATACAGGAAAGCAATAGTTACTCTCAAAATGGTTATCTTGAACTGGAAACATCACTATCAGCTTTCCTTGTTGTGTTGAACTGTGCTGATGTCACAGGTAGTACACAACCAAAAACATGAAGTAACTAATGATGAGTGCTTCCACAATTCTTGTATTCCAATAAAAAACAGAGCAAGATTTGCCTTGTACATTGATTACAGTTTTATAAGTAGAGCATATTAAAAATATTATTGATATTAAATAAGCTAGTCTGTCCAACACCATAAGTATGAAGTTCCAGGTTTTTTAGTTAAATCCTGAGTTCACATTAGTTGTATCCATGGTGATGATAAGACTCTTGTTCTGATTCCTTTTCAAATCAGTGTTGTGATTCTTAGTGATTTTGAAACTGCTTTCCAGTAATTCTAAAAATTAATGGTTAATCAAATAGTCTCAGCTTTGGCTCAGTTATTGGCATGCATGCCCAAATTATTAAGGAACAATCTACCTGCAGCAGCAAACCCTTTCATTGTGGTTTGGGTTCTTGTGTTGTGTCTGTAGGGATAAGATAATCTATTTGAAGGAAATCTGGTCATATTGCACCAAAGTTTGCTACATCCTTTATTGGGAAATATAAAGGTCAAGCTCACTCTTTGTAGGGATTACTGGTTCCATATAGCCTCAGTAGTAGGAGTGAGCAATAGGAATGAGGGAGTGGGGTGATAAATCAGAGGAACACTTGCTTTGGTAAATATCTCACAGTAATTTGCTCCTGGTAAGATACTTAGGGTTTGTTTATCATTCTATCTTTTCTGTGGGTGTGCAAACTGGAAATTTTGGGGTAAAAATCAACAAACATAATGTACAAAGATGGAACTATAAGGAGAGGGCAAATTATAAAGGTAGAGTGTCCCCATGGACACGTTCAAAGGAAAGGAGTGAGGAAGGCAGAAGGTACAGCATGGTGTGCAGAAGAAACACCTTGGAAAGCAAGCGAAAAATATTCTCACTTCTGACAGCTGTGGAGTGGGAAAAACTTGGTTGTCCATCCCACATAAGGGAGAACATGGAACATTGTGCCAATGGGACCAGCAAGAACCTGGGTTAGCCCAGAGTGTTGGACATGCCAGTGGGAAAATCAGTGCGTGACTGCTGCAGCTGTTCCTCCTGTATCTAGAAGCTTTCCCCCAAGCTTGGACTGAATCAAATTAATACACGTCCGATAGGAAACTTGAAAATCTTCCTGGCATTCATCAGGAACTGCAGATTTCCAGAAACCCTGTATTGCCAAGCTCAGCCTGAACAAAATGAGGAAGTACTCCAGAGATTTGCTGTGCTGTACTTCGCCCTCGAACAAAAGTGAAGCTTAAAAAAGCTTTAAGAAACCTTCATGCTTTTCAAATGCTTATCTGGAGCTTTCTCCTGCCCCTTAGCTGCTTACACTGAAGATGAGGAGGGAG